CTGATTTTTGTGATGTCTTTTCAGCTGCTGTTTGTGGTGTTTTTTGACCTTCTAGTTCCTTCTTTTAATGCGATTAATTAGTAATTTTAGGGGCTGTTTGGCTGCCATCTTTTTCCTTTATATATGAGATGTTTATGTAATAAAAAAAGGATATAATGGGATTTTTGGAATAGAAAAACTGATGGTTTTTCTTGGAATAGCTTGCGAGCTATGTCCTTGACCTTCTTCTCTCCTTCTTCTAAGATAACTTGCGAGTTATGCTTTCTTCGTCTCGGCTTCTAATCCCCTTCTTCTCTACGCAAGTGACCACCCCACCTGTATCCTTCTTCTTGATTAAATGCAACTTTAGGAGTTTATGTCGTCCAAGTTTGTATGCGTCGTTTGTAAAAGTCATTTCAATTTATCAAAAGTAATGTTTTGCTTTATCAATGTGATGTTGTGTCTTTTTATTTAAAGTTGTATGTTATATTGAGATATAAGAAGTGTTTAGGTTATGTTGTGGTCTCCAATTTATTATGGAGGCTTAGTTTAGTCTTTATTTTGTTTATAGCTTTTGCTCGCAAAAATTTGGGGCTTTTCCCAAATTTTTGCTTGCATTAAGATGTCACCTAAGATAACGGTGATTAAAGATCTACGAGTACGTCGGGTACAAGGGCAACCTGATGTATGGAGAAGGACACCCCCTGGCAGAAGGAAAGGAATGTTTGAACAAATTAGAACTAAACTTCCTGGTGTTCTAAAGTTTCTTTTTGGTCATATTCTTAGGAAGAAAATAGCTCTGGTATCCACAAACACCAGAAATAATAAGTGTACTACACTAAAGTCCTCGAAAGGATTCTTCTCAAGGCTGTGGTCACGAATCTCAAGAAAGACCTCGATGAATGAGAAAAGGGGGAGTCAACATCAGGACGATGAGGTGCCTCATGACATCCAGATATACCGCCATCGGATCCGTAACATCCATACAAGCGGACAGAAGGCGTATATAAGCTCTCAATTGAAATGTTGTGTGCATTCAAATGGCAGTTACCTGCACAACTAAAATATTTCAAAGTACCCCTGCACATGCACCGTAGTTTTTGTATACACATAGGTACACAAGAGGTATGTCCAATCAATGAAATTCTCAAACACCCGCATGGGCCCCGACGAGCGTGTTATTGGTACACACGTGACGTCTAGGGATGCTGCGCGGGTCAATAAGTGAATTCAGATTCGAACACGATCCTTCTATGCGGATCAATAGGAGTCGACAAGGTTCGAACCATCAAATAAATATACGATTATGGCGACTGATATATTTATTTTAATACATTCATATTAGGCATTCAAGACCTATAATCTAGAGAATTCACTGACAAAAGCAGAAAGCCTAGGAAACCCGATCCCTTATCAAAAAGTCGATAGGGTCAACAAGGTTCAAAACATAAATATTTTCAAATAACCCCAAACACCTCGATGATGGCCGTGTTGATAGAAAATCTCAACCAGAGGGGTCCATTCTAAATAATCCAAAATGTCATCCCAAATACCCAAAACATCCAAAATCCAAGATCATTCCAAATTCAGATATTTAAAATTGAAATCCATCTTCAAATGCTCAAAGCAAAACCCATTCACCCTTCACAACAGTTTTCCAAGGTGGACAAATTAAAAAATTATTTCAGCTCACAAAGAGCTAATGCCTAATCGAAAATATCACTAGGATCCATCCTCAAACAATCTCCTGCCAATAAGGATGTGGTACGTGTCCTCTAATCAGAGGTTTTGCCGCCAAATGGCGCCGTAGGATAAACGGTTATGACTCGGGGCCCTCTGAACCGAGTGGTTTTGCCGCCAAATGGCACCACGAAATATGGGTTATGGCCAGAGCCAATACGCTCCTTGATGGCATCAAATCCTTGAGATATGAATCAATAGGATTTGATCGATAGGGCATAAAACCCTCTGTTAGCTAAGGTGGATTTCAAATTTATCCCCTTAGACAAACATTCAACCCAGATCCACATGGTACTTTTCGACGAAGTAACCCATGGCTGCCGACAAGGATCCTTCTGTCATGTTGGG